CAAATTGCAAAAAGCTTATGCTTTTCACTTAAAAACCACCAGTATTTATTTAAATAAAACAATATTTGCATAGCAGTTAGCATAAAATATCATAAAATCAATAGCCTATCCAAAAAATGTCGTAAACCGTAAAGCGTGCAGGATTTTTTCACACAGCTGTAGCTCTAAATAAGTATGTTATGAGTAAGCTTCACTAGTTTTGAACATCCTTCCAAAAAATGAAGTTTCCAGTGATACTGTTATATCACTATTCTAACCCCTTTCTTCCCCAGAGGGCAGAATAAATATATGGGAATCTAATCTTTTTGAAAAATTGCCACATTTGAAATTTTACATGTTTTTTGTGGTGGGGCTACTGTGGAGGGTCATAGTTTGCCCATTCGTAAAGTGGCTGTGATGGTGCCATGCAGGGACAAATCTTAAGTCAGGACAGGCACAAAGTCTAGAGAACACCAAGCTAGAATTTAGCAGGAACTCCAGAAATAAATGAACTGTTTGCCACCTACACGCTATCAAAGAAGATTGGAATATAGATAAATACAGGAAGTAAGTAGAGCCAGCCTTGGATTTTTTAAAGAGGATTTTGAGCATGAAATTTCAATTGTAATTCAAATGAATGATCTAACATGGTTTTGAGGTACAGAATTCCTTACATTCAAGATGCATAGGCATTCTGCCTAAAGTCTGTTCTTGATCACCCCTTAAAGTTTGAAAAGTAGTAATTAAATGAAGCTGCTTAAATTGCATTTTTAGATATTGATCTTTTTAAGAGCAGTATTTTATTCTCTCTACAAATAGTATTTCTAAAGAAGCATTTTGGCGAGATCTTGAGTCCTTGTCTTGAAGATTAATTGGAGTATGCAAATGTTTTGAGTGGCATAGCTAACAAAAACCGTACAAGCTTATCACCCTAAATACAGCTCAGCCCGGTTAGTTCATTCAAATGTGAAGCCATTGTTGTTTTCCCTTTATTCATCTGTTTAGTGTTCAGATGTTTTTGAAACATCTATAAGATCAAACTGGTTTATTATTTTAGTTGCTTTCACAAGCTGGAGATGCATGATTCTCCAAATTTATTTCTAGTTATTTAGGAATGTCTGTAGGGTATCATTTTATGATACTCATCCCTGGGTCATTCTGGCTGGGTGTTGTGCAAACCATGGAAGGACATAGGACTGGTAATGTTTACATTTCACAATTGAACTAATCTTTTGGTGAAACTTCTCTCCCTTTGGATATACTTTGTTAAAACTAGAACCTTGATTTGTGTTTCTATTCACGATTGTTCAAAATAATCACTGTTTTTCTGTTTTGGACATTAATGATAAACTGTAATGAGTTTAAACTAGAAAATGGATGTCCCCAGTGTTTTTAATTTATTAAAATTATAGATTTATGAAGCACAAATGAAGTTAGAGATCTTTATCTTTTTTCCCCTACTGCTCGACCTGAAAATAATCTTAACTTCTCATAAGAGGATAAAGGCTTTCTCTTCTGGAAAATTTAAAATGTATGATATAAAATCAGAACCCAAGGGATTTCCAGAACTTTAGAGAAAATAGATGATAAATAATAATTTAATGAGAAGAAAGATTTTTGTACAATGTCTAATAAAACATTGTGATCGTTGTTCCTCTGACATAATTTAAAAAGTAGCTTCAAAACCTGAAGCTACTCCAAATTTGCCAAGTTTTAGAATTAGAATTTAGTTTTTTCATTTCAGAACAGCTTCTGGCATAGTGAGTGCAGTTTTCAAGCATTAAATTCAGCTAATTCAACATCTATAAAGTTATAAGTCATGTTATATTTTTAACCAGAATTTGGATATCAATTTGGGGGTTCTTTGATATCTTCAAAAAATGTGGTTTTTTAAAAAAAAAATCTGATTAATGTGATATAGCTAAATGATACAGGTCTATATGGAGAACAGGAATTGTGATATCACAACCAACATTCCTTCCAAAGCATTCTCTTAATTCAAACCTATGAACTTCTCAAAATTGAGAAATGTGCAATAAAATTTCTTTCTAACCAACACAAGATTGACAATGGTCTGCAAGCTTTGGTCTGCAAAACTCATTATAAATGTAACCCAGCACTTGACTTTTCAGACTTTGCTCTTTATCACCAGTTGTGTCCTTTTAGTCAGAATTCTGCTTCCTTCTCATTATCAAATTTAACAAAATAAGCCCCTGTGGTTCTTCTATTTTTCCCCTTCATATAGAGCAGGAGTGAGTAATTATGGCCCTTTTATGACTTGTGGACTTCAATTCCCAGAATCCTTAGCTAGCTATGCTGGCTCAGGAATTCTGGGTGTTGAAGTCCACAAGTCATAATAGGGCCATAGTTAACCCACCTCTGATATAGATGAACCCTGCCAGCATTCTTCCAGTCACCAAGTGCAAGTACAGTCTTCACATCCAGGTTAAATGTATCCAAGAGCCTATGCAATTGTTCCATGTTTTCATAATATTTGGGACTTCATTGTTTTCTTGATCACTAAATTTCATAGAAATTATTTTAATTGCATTATATATGGAGTCAGACAACACTAAATCAAATAATTAAGGGTTGCTTCCATTAAAATCACTCAGAAATTTCTCTGTCTTAAATTCAATTATCTTTAGTGCATTCTTTGTAACGTTCTAGGATGATACATTGCATCCCTTATTTCCCATGCTGCTCCTGATAGAGAAAAGGACAGGATAGCCAACAATAGACAAGAGTCCACTTATTTTAGTTAGGAAGTCACAATTACACACTAACTCATATGCAAAAACTGTGTACAATTCTTAGGTTTTATGGATAAATTGTCCTCCTTGACATTGGGATAGTTGGTAATGTGGCAATTTTCGAAGAAATAGCCAACCTGGCTCTGGTGTATTGTTTTATACAATGCTGAACAATTCAAGTCCATCTTTTGCATTAAAAAAAATCAGGAATAATATTTACTTCCCCACATGTTTTTCCTTTCTCTTGTTTTATTATTCTGGATTAAATTTCCTTTCTCATGTTAAATTTATACTATCCAGTAAAAATGAACCAACAAGAAAGAAAATTTAGTGAGAAGGTACCCTTTTGCAAACTTAGGAGATAAGAGATTTTGGAATCTTAACCTGAAAGTCGAAGATGGTGTTCTCCTGAAAAATAATATGCATCATTATAACAAAACTATGTATATGTTATATTGATAAGTTTGTGGCTTTTGTGTTTTTGTTTCTGTTTCTTAGTATTGAATTTGATCGAGACTGTGACTATTTTGCTATTGCGGGAGTCACAAAGAAGATTAAAGTCTATGAATATGGCACAGTCATTCAGGATGCAGTTGATATTCATTATCCAGAAAATGAAATGACATGTAATTCCAAAATCAGGTATTTATTGCTTCTCTTCCTCGACTTTAAAAATTAAGAACAGTGTCTTGTCTCCTGTATTTTCTGTACAGGTAGTTCTTGACTTACAACTATTCTCTTCTTTAAAAGAAAAAACTAATTAACATTAAATGGTTCTGCAGAAAGATTATTCAGTGACAAGATGATAGAATTTACTGTTTAAATGTTTTGGTAAACAATTTGTCATAAAGAACCCAAATCTGGTTAATTATCTTTAGCTCTGATGATTGCTTATTCTTGGATATTAGCATTCTAGTAAGGATAGATGTATTTTGCTACTAATGTAATTTACCTTATAATATTAATGGAAATAAAAGCAACAAAAATGAATGCCAAGGCAGACTATCAATGATTTCTTAATGCAAGATTCATTATTATTTTCACTTTGACCTATGTACAGGTAGTCCTCAGCTTATGACCGCAATTGAGCTCAAAATTTATGTTGCTAAGTGAGAAATTTGTTAATGAGTTTTGCCCCATTTTATAACTTTTCTTGCCACATTTGTTAAGTGAATCAAAGGAGCTGTTAAGTTAGTAATATGGTTGTTAAGTGAATCTGGCTTCCCCATTGACTTTGCTTGTCAGAAGGTCGCAATACCCGTGACCCTGGGACTCAGCAACCGTCATAATTATGAATCAGTTGTTGAGCATCTGAATTTTGATCACAGGATCATGAGGATGCTGCAATGGTCGTAAGTGTGAAAATTGGTCATAAGTTACTTTTTTCAATGCCATTGTAACTTTGATCACTATGTGAACTGTTGTAAATCGAGGATGACCTGTATTGCAAAGTTAAAAGTTTGAAGTTTTTTTCTCCTTACAAGATCTGACATAGGACTGTTGCTTTATTTATTTAACCTAACATTTTATTGACTAAGGGTAGTTAGTTTTTTTTAAAATTGGATTTTTCTCATAACATATTTACAAGCATGAGTAGACAATGACATGTTATATAAACAAAATTATTTCAACAGATGGAATGTATAACATATTCATTAATCTTTCCATTAATAACACAAGCTTCCCAGCATGCTGTATGGAAAACGTATCTTCTCATTTTTAGCTTAGAACACTTTTAGAAAATGAAGAAAATTCAATACATTATGTGATAATTTATTTTGAAATTAAAATAGAATTAAAATTTATGTTGTGTGAAGAAGTTTAAAGAGGCATTAATTGGATATTTAATGAGTGCAAAATACAGGTGGCCCTGCTTCCCTGCTGTTCCATTATCCCTTGTTTCATTTATCTCGAGTTAATTTTAAAAAGCCCGACTTTGGTATCAATAGTACAGTTTTTCATTTGTGGTTTGGAACTTGTCTTTTTTTAATCTTTTTGTTTGGTTATTTTATATAGGTGTAAAATAGAGAGCATTTTTTAAAGGTTACACTGCAGCTGTTAGGCTAGTATTCCATATCAGCAGTCACAGTATCCTTCTAAGAGTTGGGATGTGTCATTTTTCACTGGTTCTCCTCTTTTCTGGATTTAGTTCCAGTTGGTCTTTAAGGAGTGGGGAGAATCAATAGAGACTGAAGCCCTTGCTTTGCAATATTGCCCAGGGCTCAGTACAACTGCTATATGAACTTTCTGGGTAATATCAGCTATCATCCATACTTAGATGATACCCAACTATCTTGACCCTGGGGCCTGGAACATATTGAATCATAAATGGGGTAGAAAATGCTCAGGCTCAATCAGAATTGAGTGGCTGTGAAAACAAGAATCTTCCATGGCCAGTGATTTACCAACATTAATTGTGGATGAAGTTCCTCGTTTTTTTGGGAGAAGCTGGCAGAGAAGATTGCAAATGGAAATCACTGGATTGTGAGGTGCTTGGCAACCAGTTAAGACAGGTCTCCAAGCATCCAAAATGCAGTCATGTGTTTGCAGGTGGGATGGTGGTGAAATGTTTTACAAGAGTCAGAAGTGATTTTTGTGCTGTAAAGCAGAGTTCCTCAACCTTTGCGGACTGGCGGGGGAGGAAGGGGAGAGGGGATTTTTCTGTATGAGTGGCGGGCACAAATGCAGTGCGTACGCACTCGCCCGCTGCTCGTGCAAATGGGGACATGCAGATGCAATGCTATCCGCCTCTTCCGCAGTCCAGTTCCAGATAGGCCCCTGCTGTAAAGGATCCTTTCTGAGCCTGTTCTAATTTCAAGTGATCGTCAAATGACTAGTCATAACTTGAAAACTGCCTGTAGATAACACACATCCAGAATAGCTTAAGAGTTTTATGCTAGGCAGGAAGTATATAGATCAGGTTTTTGCCCTTCAGCAGGTCATTGAAAACTATATGAATATGGTGGAAGCAAATAACAATTTCAAGAATAAAAAGAAACATATAATTGTATTGGTGTAAACTGCATTTAGCTATATCTACTTTTTTTTAATCTCATGCCTTTAATTTTGTTGGCTTATTGCCTGTTTCTTTTTTGCTATGCTCTACATATAGTTGCTTATCTTGAAAGGGATCACAGTGATAAATATATATGTATTACATACTATACCTTCAAGGAAGTTAAAGCACATTTTATTATAGGAGCATTTAGTCTCTGGGATTCTAAAATCCCTCCTGCAGTGATCTGGAGTGAGTGAAATAGCAATGTAGATAAAATAACTTGATATGTTCGGCTGAGAATAAATTATTCCTGGTACATGCCTTATAGCAGCAGGTCCATGAGAAAATTTTGATGGTCTGAAGAAAAACTATTTGCATTGTTTATATTGCACTAAATGCTCTTTATCTTTTTTTAAAAAAATCAAATTGGTGGTCCACGGGATTTAAAATTAAGAATTTAGTGGTCCCTGATGTCCGAAAGGTTGGCCCTGCCTTGTAGAGTAGGACATGTTGAAATAATATAGAATGGGAAAATAGATTTGGAAGGTACTAATGGCCAGGTTTTGCGGTTCCACCACAAAAGCGTGTAGGACAAAATCGCGCTCGACAAAAGCGCGCTGTGACGTCATCACAGCGCGACGAAAAAGATCGAAAAATGTAAAAATAAAGCGAAAACCTTACCCTAAGCCCCCCAAACCTAACCCTAAACCTAACCCTAAACCTAACTCTTAACCTAACCCTAAACCTAACCCTAAACCTAACCGTTAAAGTAACGAAAAACCTAACGCTAACCCTTATCCTAACCCTAACGCTAACGCTAACGCTCTAAAGCTAACCCTAACCCTTAACCTAACCCTAACCCTAACCCTTACCTTTATGTGAATCGGCTTGCTTTAATTTAATTTTTATTAATTTTTATTTGAATTTTTCGATCTTTTTCGTCGCGCTGTGATGACGTCAAAGGCGCGATTTTGTCGATCGCGCTTTTGCCGTCCGCGCTTTTGACGGGTCACGAGGTTTTGCACCATACTGGTATGGGTTTCTCTGCTTTAAACTAATTAAGACTTAAGGTGCCATGCTCTACATTTTGTAAGGCCTAAGGACTATTCAAAGCCTTTAGTGCAGAATAAAAAAATGTCATTAGGCCATTACATTTGTTCTGTTGACACCTAAAACAGGAATTTATATCGAATTCAATGGCTGATTGAAATATAATGACAAATATGGCATACATTTCAAATATATTTACACTTAAGAAACAATTAATTGCATGTCATTGAGTCATTTTCAGCTTTTTCTGACCATATAGTTAGATTTTCTCCATGATAATCTATCACTAAGGTGGTCTTTCAGGTCTTCCAATGTCATTGAAACCAAGTCCATCCACCTTTTTGTTGGTCATTCTCTTATTCTCGTTCCTTTTGCCTATCCCAACATTAGAACTTTTCCAGAGGGCTGGGTTTTCGCTTAATGTATCAAAGTAGGATGATTTGAGTCTGGTGATTTGTTCCTTGAGTAAGAATTCTGAGTTAATTTGCTTGATGATCCACGGTACTGCCAATGGTATTGTCAAGAGTCTTCTCCAACACCCAAGTTCAAAAGCATTAATTATGTTCCTATCCGACTGCTTTAAAGTCTAGTTTTTGCATCCATTGGATGCCATTAGAATATCTTTTCCTGGACCTTTGTAGCTCTTCTACCAAGTGCTAGTTTGAAATGCATTTTTGATGGCTTGTTCTTTTACTGTTGATGCTTGAGGTGAAAAGGCAGAAGCTATAACTTCAGTATCTTCATTTGTAAATTCTAAGACTGGTTGTTCTACCTATTGTCATTGATTTGGTCTTCTTTTCATTTAATTTTAGTTCCTTTTTTCACTATGCTTTTTGTCTTTTATTATTAGAGTTTGCAGATCCTTTGCAGTTTTGGCTATCAAGGTAGTATCATCAGTATAGAATAGGTTACTGATGTTTCTCCCCCCAGTTTTAAAGCAATGTTCTTCTTCCAGTCAAGACTCCCTTAATATGTATATTCAGCATTTGTTGAATAAATAAAAGGAGATTACTCAAATTTCTCACATTCTACTACCTCTCGCCAACCTGGAACACGTCTGTTTTACCATATTCTGTCCCTACCGTGCTTTCCTGACCTGTATATAAGTTTCTTATGAAGACAATGTGACATTAGGATTCCCATTTTCTGAACACATCACACATCTTGATGTAATGGACACAGTCGGGTCCATTGGAGTACGAACTGATTTCTTTTTTTCATTTTCAGTTATTCATGCATCAGCATAACATTAATTAGTCTTTTCTTAAGCCAATGTGAACATCTGGCATCTTCTTTTCCATGTAGGGTTGTAATCCACATTAGATAAGCCTAAGCATTATTTTTCTAATATGTGAAATTAAGAATATTGTATAATAGTTTGCACACGCTGTTTAAAGTCTCTGTTTTTTTGCTTTTGGAATGCAGATGACCTCTTCCAGTCTGTTGAATAAGGGTCTCTCTTGCAACCGCTATCGAAAGAATATTTTCAACTTAAACTTCTTGTATACATGTTTCTTGATATACTAAAGTCTAGGCAGTTGGTAGAGTCAGCAAATTAGCGCCAACAATCTCGGCCCTCATTTTACCGACCCTGACACCAATAAATTTAGCTTTATTTTGCTTTATTCCATTTGAATTTAGAATTTTGGCCTAAATAATAACCAGGGTATGAAACTAGCAAATCTTCAGGGGATGCATAAAGTAGTCTGAATTATTACATTATCTAATACGACACCCATAGTCGTAGAATAAAATGTTTTCACATTTGTATTACTTCTCTTTTTCAGCTGTATCAGCTGGAGTAGTTACCACAAAAACCTTTTGGCCAGCAGTGACTATGAAGGAACAGTGATCTTATGGGATGGATTCACAGGTCAACGTTCAAAGGTCTATCAGGTAAAGGAATGCTGGTCTTGTTATGGGGAATTTGATCAAAAATATTACTAATATTACTCTATTTTTTAAATCTATTAATAAATAGAGTTAAGAGAAAATGATTACAGATGAGACAATTTGGCCTCTGTAAGAAATAAATGAGTATGAGAGAATAAGTGGTGTGCATGTACGTGCATGCAAAACAGAGAGGGGAAAGTTGGCTGCAAAAGAAAATTGGATAAATGTGTTCTTGTGTTTATAGGAAATGAACAAAATAGTATTATATATGTATGTATAGGAGTGTGTTGCAAAGAGTACTGTGACTTTGTGCAACATGTATGGTGTTTGCTCTAATATGGCCTTAATGTGGCCTTAATGTGGCCTTAAAATCTGAAGAGTCATAGTTGGTGCCTCCCAATTTCATTTCTTAAGCCAAAAGACTTGGCTCTTCTGTTATAGAAATAGCCATAGTACTTAGACTTATATACCACTTCACAAGGTTTTACAGCTCTCTGTAGGCAGTTTGTAGAGTCAGCAAATTACCCCCAACAATCTGGGCCCTCATTTTACCGACCCTGAAAGGATGGAAGTCTGAGTCAACCTTGAGTCGGTGAGAATTGAACTGCCGAATTGCTGGCATTCTGACCACTGAGCCACCACAGCTCATTGAAGATGAGTGTCATTAATCATTTGCTTTATGGTTTGGCATTGCAGATGCCAGAACCATTGATAATTTACAGGTGATAAATCTGTCCTGTGGTATGTTGCTTTCAACATCCGTTTTGTCCTTTTTAACTGTTTCATCATGGATAAAATTAAAAACTTGTTAACATTCTTGTTGAAAAATTCTTATTAAATTATTGTTAAAAAGAAATCTAAAGAGTCATGATTTTTTAGCATTCACAAATAAACCTTATAATGAGCCGAGGTGGCACAGTGGTTAGGGTGCAATACTGCAGGCCACTTCAGCTGACTGTGATCTGCAGTTCAGCGGTTCANAGGTCCAGAGTGAAGGCATAATTTGTTTAATCTATATTAGTTATAAGAAGGGGCTGTCGGTCAAGTTGGAGGTGGACCCTGGGCAGAAGGCTACGGAGTGGGGGAGTCGCATCGGCTGGGTGGATGCAGACCTGAAGCACAAAGAGGCTGCCTGGGGACTCAAGTGGAGGTGGGGCTGTCTCTGCCCAACTTTCATCCTGTCCCTTTATGGGGAAATGTTCTCTCAGCCCAAACTGGGTCTTGTCTCAATGATACAATTTTAGCTATGAGGTGTGCAGATTGTTCCTGTTTAGGCCTTGTCCCATAATGCACTTGGGGTTACAGTTTAGTAAGCTGAAGCGCTTAGGCCTTCTCCTAAAGGTTAAATGTTAATTGAAATTCTGGGGATGCTTTATTTGGGCCTTTTCCTTCTGAAGGTATTCAGTGAGCCCCCACCCCCACCTCAATTCAGAAACTGTAGGATCAAGTTTACCCCAGGATTAAGCCATGTCACAGATTGTTGGTTTATTTTTTCTTGCTTTTTCTTGCTTTCGGGGCCAGTTGGGATAACAAACAGGATCGTTCATTTCAATTCTGTGCAGCTTTATTTGCTCTGATCGGCAGTGATCCTTTTCGGGGTGCCTCTGCTATTGCCTCTGGAGAAGAATGAAACGGCAAATCAGAGCCATTTCCTGCAAGGCAAAACATGCAGAGGAAATTAGTCAAGGCTCACCTCATCTCCCTTACCCTCCCCCTGCCCCCGGATGCTCTTTAGGCTTTTGAGGGAACTCATCATGAAACTCCTTAATCAACCTGTCTGTTTTTACATCCCAGCTCTTGAGCCATGTGGCTTCAGAAAGGGGGTATCCCTACCAATGCACAAGGTACTGCAACCGTCCCCTATGCAGCCTTGAACCTAAAATCTCCTTTACCTCATAATGTGTCTCCCCCTGCACAACTCGGGCCTTTAGGGTTGCTCGATCTACCAGTCTGATGAGTGAGCTTATCGCTGGTTTTAACAGGCTTCTGTGAATGACCTGATGCAATTTCCCTAACAGTGGAGTGAGTTTAAGCTGTACCGAGACCGGGTTGATTATTCTCTCTATTGGGAAAGGTCCTTTCAACTTTGGTCCAATATCTTGCATGGGAGTCTTAGTTTAAGGTACTTTGTCAAGAGGTGGACCTTGCTCCCCACTCGGAACGGCTCTTGGGGTCTATGGCGTGTACCCGCTTTGCGTTTTATAGGTTTTCGCTGCTTCCCGTAGGGCACACTCGGTATTTTCCCACCCCTCCTTCAAAGACTGTATCCATTAATTTAGGGATACCGATGAGGGGGATTTCCTTAGGGAGTTCATGTGTGGGAACGATCTCCATGCCGCTAGGAACCTGAAAAGGAGTTAGACCAGTGCTGCGATCCACAGCATTCTGGTATGCCATCTCAGCGAACGGCAGCAATTCTGTCCAATTAGACTGCTGACGGTTGACGTAACACCTTCAATATGGCTCCACCATTGCGTTTTCTCGTTCGTGGGCCCCATTGGTACTCGGATGGAAAGCCAAGCTAAGCCCCTGCAGGGACCCGCTGGACCTAACGAACTCCGTCCAGAATTTGGTAGTGAATTGGAGCATCCTGTCAGAAATAATTCTGCTTGGGATGCCATGCAATCTGTCTTATTAATAAATAGCTTGGCAAAGTTTTCTTGCTGTGGGGAGCCCAGAGCAGGTGGTGAAGTGGGCTTTTGTGACTATACATTTCCGAAAAGGAAATACTCTTCTCTGTTTCTTTTTTCCTTCCAACAGCAGATAAAAAGATTGTGACCAAAGATTTACCTTGAAGACAACTGTCAACAGATAGTAGAAAATCAACCCAAGGCAGCAGCCGCCCGAAAGGATGATGGAGCCTGGGAAACTCTTAGATCCCGCATCAGACACAAGCAGGAGTCCGAAAAAATCTTATGAATGCTCAGAATATGGGAAATCCTTTGTCCACAGGTCCCTCCTTTTGACCCACAGGAAGGTCCATGTGGGAAGTGGATCCAGTGAAGGTTTGAAGGGTCAAAAATCCTTCTCTGGAAAAAATAACAAAGATCTCAGAAGCCCCCCAATACTAAAACCCTATAAATGTGAGGAATGTGACTTATGCTTTGGACGAAGGTCACACCTTCTTAGACATCAGAAAATCCACAACGAAGAGAAACCTCATCAATGTCTAGAATGTGGGAAGTTTTTCCGTAGAAAAGACCATCTCAGAAACCATGAGAGGATTCACACAGGGGAGAAACCTTACAAGTGTTTGGAATGTGGGAAGAGCTTTTCTCAGATGTCAAATCTTATGGCCCATGAGAAGATTCATGCAGGGATAAAGACTTACAAATGCTTTGAGTGTGGAAAATGTTTCACTCACAGTTCAGTTCTTTGGAGTCATTTGAAAACACACAGAGGTGTGGGAAAGGAAAAGTGCCTGGAATGTGAGAAATGTTTTACCTCAAAATCAATCCTGTTGCAACATCAGAGACTTCACACTGGAGAGGGACCCTATGAATGCCCAGAATGTGAGAAACGATTTGTGGATTCTTCTGAACTTCAGAGTCACCAGAAGAGGCACAAAGTGGAGAAACCCTACAAATGTCAGGAATGTGAGAAATCCTTTGCCCGCAGGTCCCTCCTTTTGAGCCACAGGAAGGTCCATGTGGGAAGCGGATCCAGTCAAGGTTTGGATGGTGTGAAATCTTTCTCTGGAAAAGACGCCAAAGATCTCAGAAGCCCCCCAAGACTAAACCCCTATAAATGTGAAGAATGTGACTTATGCTTTGGTCAAAAGTCAAAACTTCTTACACATCAGAAAATCCACACTGGAGAAAAACCTTATCAGTGTCTGGAATGTGGGAAGTTTTTCCGTACAAAAGCCCATCTCAGAAACCACGAGAGAATCCACACAGGGGAGAAACCTTACAAGTGTTGGGAATGTGGGAAGAGCTTTTCTTGGAATTCAAATCTTTGGTCCCATAAGAAGATTCATGCAGGAATAAACTCTTACAAATGCTTTGAATGTGGAAAATGTTTCAACCAGAGTGAAGGTCTTCGGTGTCATGTGAAAATACACACAGGGGAGAAAAACGAAAAGTGTCTCGAATGCGGGAAATGTTTTACTCTGAAAGGAAATCTGGTGCGACATCAGAGAATTCATACTGGAGAGAAACCCTTTGAATGCCCAGAATGTGGGAGACGATTTGTATATTCTTATGAACTTCGGAGTCATCAGAAGAGACACAAAGAGGAGAATCCGTATCAATGTGGGGAGTGTGGGAAAACTTTTATTAAGCCAGGACTGCTTCAGATTCATCAGAGAATCCACACAGGAGAGAAGCCGTACAAGTGTGGGGAGTGTGGGAAATGCTTCTCCAGAAAAGACCTCCTTGGAAGGCATCAGAGGGTCCACACAGGAGAGAAGCCATACAGATGCATAGAATGTGGGAAATCTTTTGCTCAAAATGGAAACCTTTGGATCCATCATAAAACCCACACAGGGGAGAAACCATATGAGTGCAACGAATGTGGAAGATTTTATCGTACCTCATCAGCACTTAGAAATCATGTGAAAACTCACACAGGGGAAAAAAACTACAAATGTTTGGACTGTGGGAAAGCCTTTGCTCAGTCATATACCCTTAGAATTCACAGCGTAATCCATACAGGAGAGAAACCATATACATGTCTGAAATGTGAGAAATGTTTTGCCCAACCTTCAGCCCTTCGTATCCACACCCGAAGTCACACAGGAGAGCAGCCTCACAAGTGTGCAGAGTGCAAGAAACCTTTTCCTAGTAGATCAAAGCTAAAAAAGCACCAGAAAGTCCATAGCAGAGCTAAATCTCTTCAGATGTGAACAACATTGGGAACCCTTTTCCCCCCCAATATTCAGATGATAACATTAACCAGGAACGTCTTACAGTGACAGAAGGGAAATCGTAGAAATATTTGATGTGGGGAAAATGCTTTTCCTAGTCAAGCAACCTCAAATCCCATCAGAGAGAAGACAATGAGGCAAAAGGGCATAAGTGTTGGGAATGTGAGGATGATTTTATTTTTTATAAACATATCAGTGTGTGAACAGTGTGGTACCTGAGTATCAAACAAAAAAAATTAAAAGTAATATTTGTTTCATTTAATAAGCTTATATAATACTACTAGTAATACACATCTTTATATTAAATTATAATATATCATTGTTTAGTTATTCAATATTTCAGTGTTATTTTTATACCAATCGCCCTATCTTAATTATCATACCTTTTTTATGAATAAAGTGTTATCAATTTGTTACATTTAACAAACAACTAATATTAATACAAACATTTTTATTACAATAAAATCTTCCATTATTTCTTATTCAACTTGTTATTTGGTTATTCAATATTTCAATATATTGTTTTATATCAATCACCATATTCTGCATAACACAACTGAGATATTATTAATCATATTTGTTACTTAACATATATATGCATATTCATATTGAATTATCATCTTTCACTTTTTTACTCAGTAATTCTATATATTGTTTTATGCCAATCCCCATTTTATTTAAATACACTTATTTATACCATCTTTCATAAAATATTATCGGTCCTATTTATTGCATTTAACACATTTCTATATTTAAATTAAGATCATTCATTATTTGCTTATTCTTCTAATCCATCATTTTTTAATTATTGAATGTTTCAATATGTGTTATGTCAATCTTCATCTACTACTTATTATAATTTTAATACAAATGAAGTATTGTTAATATATTTATTACATTTAACACATACCTGCATTCATATTGAATTATAATTTAGTAATGCCATCCTTCAAGTTTTAATTTATTCTCTTATTATTGTTTGAGAAAAATACCCCAGATATATTTTCTATAAACGTAAAAAAACTAAACCAGGAGACTATACACAACAAAAAGCTTTATTCATCGATAAGAGGGTATTATCGAGAGCTACCATGCGCCTGATAGGGTTCTCAAAATGAGAGGGAATAACTACAAGGTACACAAGTGGGACTTAAATACACAAATCGAAGGCTCATGAGTATTATCAAAGTGCGTCATAATACAATTACAAAAATACATGTGCGTGATCGACAACAATACTTGGCAACAATTAACCTCAGTTGGCACTTATTAAGTGGACACACACAAAAAAATAAAATTCTGGGAACTTCAGGTGAATTCCTGTAACATGCGTGTGTCAATGTCATGTTACCAGTGACCTTTCAGAATGTCCCCAAAAAGCCTTTTATTTCCTGCTTTACAGTAGCTAGCTAATTATCAGCTTCCTAAACAACATATCAGCTTCATAATTATCAGCTTCCTGAACAACATATCTTCCTGGGTCCTGCTAGATGCTGAATCTTAACCGTCAGGATATGAGTTAATTATCACTTTCATAACAATATGTCTCCCCTTCTTCAGATGCTTGTTGCAAAAGTGAGCAAGGGCCCTGCCAGCCAGACTCACTTCACACAACCTCTGGCCTTGAAGGTGGATTTGCATCAGAGGTGGGTTCCTACCAGTTCACACCTATTTGGTNCTGAGAACTGCCAGACGGCCTCTGCCTCCTCTCTGCCTCCGACGCAGAGCCCTCATCCGAGCCTTCCCCAGACTCCAGGCCTGGCCCATCTACCTCCCCAACCTCCTCACTGTCCGACTCTACTGCCTGCTGACAGGCCACAACATGCATGTCAAAAGAACAGCAGGGTGTTTCTGTTGTATCATTTTGATATTTTTGACTCCCACCTGACTCTCTGCTCCGAAAATAAATCTTGGGGATTGAGAGCATAAGATTTCGCCCGCCCCACCCCGTATCTTAAAAACATGCCTGTGATAATAAAGTTGGCTTAGCCTTTTATTGGAACAGAGAACGGAAAACTGTAAACGGAGGTCACTGAAGTATTATTGTGCATAAAATAATAATATTAGTAATGTAACGATGGTCAAAGGTAAGAAAGAGTCATTTACATACATATATACACAGAACCAGGCGGTGGGGTGGTGGGTGCATGTATACCCACCCACCCACCTGTGGAGGGGGGATTCGGCTGGTTGGTTTGGACTGAATCGCTTTTCTCAACTAGCCAAGCGTCTCTTCTCCGTTCAAGCTAGAATTCGCGGGTGCTAAAGTCCGAAACGCACCAGGTGCAGGAAAGTGAAGCCGACCGCTTTGAATTACGTCGCTGAAATGTCGAAAGCGAAGTCACTTGATTGCGTGTGGGCCTTTCCTGCCGATAAGGCCTCCGTGGATGGTTTTACCTCAGTCGCCTCCAACTTCACCCCATTCCGCCACCCCTCGTCGCCCTCAAGACAAGCCAAGGGAGCCGTGCGGACGGCTGAAAAACCACCCGTATCGTAGTCCATGGACACCTCTCTGAGCTGGTTCCCTTTCTGGCTGTCCGCTCTCCTGTGGATCAGCTGGTGTTTGTACAAGCTGGAGGTGTAGCTGAATTTCCGTCCGCAGTCCAGGCAGGTGTAAGGTTTCTCTCCCGTGTGGATCCGGTCATGCCTCACCAAATCTGCCTTGTCCCGAAAGCCTTTGATGCAGATAAAGCACCAGTATTTCTTCTGCCCCCGACGGCTGGTGGTTTTCCTCGCCGTTTTGCCTTCCTGGTCCGTGCCGGAAGCAGCTTCAGGATGTTGATTGGTCGGTGGCTGCTGTCCCAGGCTGCTGGCCAAGGGGCCGACTCCGTTCTCGGGGAATGTTTGGTTAGGCCAGGCCCAAGAAGGGGTTGCCCCATCCCAGTGGCTATTTTCCTGGTTCCCGTGCCATTCTTGGTCCCCTGCAGTAAGAAAAGAAGTGCAAATATGCAGCCAATGAAAGAGGAGATCCTCAACCCACTTAAGTCGCCTGCTGCCAATTACCTCCCAAAGACCCAGTAGATCACACAGGGCCGGCCTCCTCCGGGTTCCATCTACCAGCTAATGCCATCTGGCTACTACCCGGGGGAGGGCCTTCTCTGTGGCAGCTCCGGTCCTTTGGAACGAACTCCCTGCCGAGATTCGGACCCTCACCTCTCTCCAGGCCTTCCGAAAAGCCGTTAAAACCTGGCTGTGTCGGCAGGCCTGGGGTTGATGAGTTCCCTTCCCCTCTCGATCTGTGTGGCTGTTGGCTATTTTAAATGCTTGTATTTGTAGTTCTTGTGTTTCCCTTCCCCTCTTGGGTTTGTGAGCCGCCCTGAGTCCGCTGGGAATAGGGCGGCATATAAATAAAACGAAACCTGAAACCTGAAGCCACTTGGACCATTCAGACAAGCTCATAAAGCAGCTAAGAACTTAGGCTAAATCAGAGAACAATTTGAGAACAATTTGAGAATAAGGTAATAATATGGTATATTATTATCTGTCTGGAACGGTATAGGGTTTCCTGCCTAGGCAGGGGGTTGGACTAGAAGACCTCCAAGGTCCCTTCCAAGTCTGCTATTGTATTGTATATACTGTATTTTTCGGAGTATAAGATGCATATTTTGCCCCCCTAAAAGAGCGTGGAAATGTTGGTGCATCTTATACACTGAATACAGTCAGTTTTGGCCTCCCAAAGTCCCGCCCCTGCGCCCCATTTTTGCAAAAAAATGGGGGGGGGGTTGCCTTGCAGAGGGCTGCTGGGGGGCTGAGGAAAGGCAAAAAAGCTTGGTTTTGGCAAAAAACAGCCTGTTTTTCACCTGTTCTTCACAAAAAAGGAGGGTTTTTTGCCTTCCCTCAGCCCCCAGCAGCCCTCAGCAGGCTTCAGCAGGGCTGAGGGAAGGCAAAAACTTTTTTTTCTTACTTGCCTCTTCGAAATCTTGGTGCGTCTTATACACCGGTGCGTCTTATAGTCCGAAAAATACAGTAATACAATGTAAGGAGCCCTGATGAATTTGAATGCAGTGGTTTAGAATGCAGGCAAATTCTGTCGACTGGCAGCAGTTCAATCATGATCGGCTCAAGGTTGACTCAGCCTTCCATCCTTCCGAGGATGATCCCAGATGATCGGCAGGAAATGGGGATTTACAGTATCCTTCCCCTGCCACACCCACCAAGCCACGCCCACCAAGCCATGCTACACTCTCCAAGCCACGCCCACAGAACTGGCAGTAAAAAAAAAATTGAATCCCACCACTGGTTCTCATCTCTCCCGCTTCCATCCCTACCTTCGTAGGTTTCGCCTTTGAGGTGTTTCCTCTTGTGCCGGTTGAGGGCTGGCTTTTGGGTGAAGCATTGCCCACACTCAAGGCAGCTGTAAGGCCTCTCTCCCGTATGGACCGTCTGATGCCGAAGGACCTGAGAAACGTCCCGGAAACTCTTCCCACATGCCAAGCACTCTGGACGCTTCCGACTACCCATGTCCGTCCTTGCGGGTTTCATACTCAGGATGAAACCTGTTTGGAGAAAACAAAAAACAAAAAAAACCCCAAACAACCATAAGCGTACAGATAGTCCTTGACTTACAACATGGGTGTCAAACACAAGGCCCGCGGCTGGATGTGGCCCACGATGTGGTCGCATCCGGCCAGTCGGGCATCCTGGAAAATGTTAAGGTCCAACCAGCATTGCTTCGGCCCGGTCTACCCAGTGCGAAGAGGAAACATGCCAGCAGTTTGAGGAGTGGTGTTAAGCTGGCCACGCCCAATAAGTTGTTCACACCAACCTAGGTCAACCACAGCCATGATGTGACCCTCAAATGAAATT